TTTACCCATCTATCTCCAAGGTCCAGGGCAACACTGGAATTCTGGTCCGGTTCAGGGTTTCAAGAAAACCCACACTACATGTACCTCAAGTCTCACCCTGGCAGCTAAGACAAGCCACCCCAACTAACTTGGTTGCGCATCAGTGTCAGCCTTGGTAGGGTAAATCTCCCCAGATCTATCCAACGGTTGTGAAGATTCTAAACTAACATGAGTCTCATAAGTGTCCAATTTAAGGGTATTACACAGAAACACACCCTAATAACATGAATCAAATAATGTACTTTATTCATTTACATATGTCATAGGGTACATCATTCTGATTGGAGCTAAGGGCATACAATGTCTAACATTGTCACCATATAGAAGAATGGGGTAGTGGAAGTAGTGGAGGAGCTAGTGGGTAGATACTCTGTCTCCATTAAATTCAAGAATGTAGATGATGGATTTTGTTGGGTGTTGACCAATGTGTACGGTCCTAATTCCTACGGAGAAAGAAATGAACTATGGGAGGAATTGTATGCAATTCGGGGTTTATGGGATGGACTTTAGTGTCTGGTAGGGGATTTCAATGTCACAAGATACTCAGAGGAATCTAGCAATCATGTCCAGTCAATTACAACAAGTATGAGGAAATTTAATGGGCTTATAAAAGATTGTGAGCTAAAAGAAATTCCACTACTGCAAGCTAGATTCACCTGGTCTAACTTTCAAGCTAATCCGCTGTGTTCAAAGCTGGATAGGTTTCTATTCAACTTAGAATGGGAAAACCATTGGGGGAACTTGGTCTCTAAGACTTTGCCTAGGGTCACATCAGACCATTTTCCCATCAGGATTGGTGTGGAATCCCTAGTTAGTGGACCTAAACCATTTAGGTTTGAGAATATGTGGTTAACTCATCCTGGGTTTGAAAGCATAGTAAAGGATTGTTGGAACGAGGAGTTAAGGGGAATAAAGTGGAAAGGAATTAAATTTCATCAGAAGTTGAAGAGACTGAGAGTCAAGTTAAAGGAGTGGAATAAAGATCACTTTGGTAGGGTGGAGGAACAAAAGTTGAGCTTGGTCACACAAATTGAAAAATTGGATGAGAAGGAAGCTCAAGGGTTGTTGAGTGAACAGGATAGAGAATCAAGAAGGCTATTGAAGGACTTAGAAGAGGTTTTATTTAGAGAAGAGATTTGCTGGAGGCAAAAGTCAAGGCACAAGTGGATTAAGGAGGGGTATGGGAATACTAGGTTCTTTCATGAGCTGGAAAATGGTAGAAGGAGGAAGAACTTAGTAGCTAGACAAGAAATAGAAGGGCACCAGTCACCAACCAAGAGGATATAGCCAGGACCTTTGTAGATCATTTTAAATCCATCTATAGTAGGTATTTGAATGAGAGGGTACCTTTGGATGGTTTGGAATGGCCGCGATTAGAGGAAGAAAAAGCAAGGTGATTAGAAAGGAACATTGAAGAGGAGATTAGGAGGGCAATGTTTATGATGGATAGATCCAAGGCGCCAGGTCTTGACGGATTTACTATGGCTTTCTACCAAGATTGTTGGGACATCTTGAAAGAAGATTTTTGTGCTGCTGTTGAGGAATTTTTAGAGAATCATATAGTAAGTCCGGGAGTCAATGCCACTTTCTTGGCCTTAATCCCTAAGAAATCAGATGCTATCCAACCTAAGGGCTTTAGGCCAATTAGTTTGGTAACTAGCATTTACAAAATCCTAGCTAAGGTGTTGTCTTTGAGGCTTAAAGCAATTCTCCCATCCTTAATAAGCCAAGCACAAGGAGCCTTTGTACAAGGGAGACAGATAGCAGATCAGATCCTAATTGCTAATGAGTGTGTGGAGGATATGAGAAGATCTAAAAGAAAAGGTTTTGTCTGTAAGTTGGATTTAGAAAAGGCCTACGATTTGGTGGACTGGCACTTTTTGGTAGAGGTATTGAAAAAATGTGGATTCGGGAATAAGTGGTGTAGTTGGATTTATGGATGTATCAGTTCTTGCCATTACTCCATCTTGGTTAATGGAATGGTGAAGGATTTCTTCCCAGCTTGTAGAGGTATCAGGCAAGGGGACCCTCTATCACCCTTCCTCTTCACTCTAATAGCAAAAGTGCTTAGTAGAATGATCTCAAAGGCTGATAGAAAAGATGTGATTAAAGGGTGGAGAATAGGGAGGGATGGTATTCCGATCACCCATCTCCAATTTGCAGATGATATTCTGATTTTCTGTGACGGGGATGATATTGAGAGAGTGAGGAACCTCAAGGAATGAATTGGTTAGAAGCTTTGAGAGGTTGTCAAATTTGAGTGTCAACTTTGAAAAGAATTGTGTAGCTGGTGTTAACTTGGAGGATAAGGAGGTGGAGTTTATAGCAAGAAGTTTAGGTTGTTCTATCTCGTCCTGGCTTATGACCTACTTGAGGCTTCCGTTAGGGGAAAACCCTAGGGAGAGTAGCTTTTGATGTCTAGTGGTAGAGAGGTTCCAAAAGAAGTTAACTTCGTGGAGGAAAAACTACTTATCCTTGGGGGGTAGAATCACGTTGATAAGAGCCACACTTGCCAACTTACCAACCTATTTCCTATTTGTGTTTAGGATACCACCTAGGGAAGCTAAGAAGCTAGAGAAGCTGATGAGAGACTTTCTGTGGGAGCCAGGGGAGAGTAAAAAGGATCACTTGATAAAATGGGAGGTGGTTTGTCGGAATAAAGAGGAAGGGGGTTTGGGGATAGGGAATTTGATTAAAAAAAATAAAACATTGCTAGGGAAGTGGCTATGGAGGTGGCCAGTGGAGAGAGAGAGACTTTGGCATGAGGTGGTGGGTAGTATTCATGGCCGCTCAGAAAACGGATGGGATGCTAGAGTATCACCAGGCAACCTTGGCAACATCTTGGAAAGCTATTCATGGCATTCTTCCTCATTTCCTCAGTTTTATCAGGTATGATGTTTGCAATGGTAACTCAGTCCTATTTTGGGAGGATACTTGGGTGGGAGAGGTTCCATTGAAGGACCTTTTCCCTTCTTTGTTCTCTGTTTCTAGGTACAAAAAGCATGTTGTGTCAAAGTTTTTTTCCATTATGAATAACCTATTAGCACCAAACTGGAACTTTGGGTTCCGTAGAGGTTTAAGGGAAGAGGAAATTGTGTCTCTCACAAATCTGCTAAGTCTACTTGATACAGTATGTTTGGACCCTTCTAAACATGACACTCGGATTTGGACACCCCAGCAGAGTGGATCCTTTTCATGTGCTTCTTTTTTTACTCAGTCTACCCCCAACCAGCCTTTCCCCCTAAGGTTATGGCTTTTTGTTGGGAAGTGTATTATAGGAAAATAAACACCTTTGACATTCTACAAAAGAGAGAACCTTTTCTCTACCTCTCACCTTCCTGGTGTATTCTTTGCAGGTCACATGGTGAGGACTGTAACCATATGCTAATATCTTGTTCATTTACTGCATAGTTATGGGAGTGGCTCTTCTCATTGTTTGGGTGCAGGTTGGTTAGGCCAGCAGATGCAAGCTTCTTCTTTGACCCTGCTTTCTTCCCTTGGCGGCACAGAAGAGGAAGAATTATGTGGAGGTGTGCAAAAGCAGTGCTCATTTGGTCTGTGTGGGAAGAACGGAATGCCAGAATTTTCCAAGAGAATGAGAGAAGCCCAGAAGAGATGAAGGACTGCATTCTAAATAGGGTGATCTTATGGTTAAAATCACTGGATTTATCCCATCAATTCTCATTCAATGATGTGTGGAGGAATTGGTTAGGAGTGGCTAATTGCTCATCCAAAAAAACTAAAGTGAGCATGGCTTGGGAACCCCCTCCTGAAAGATTCTTAAAGCTGAATTTCGATGGGAGCAGTCTTGGTAATCCTGGTCCATCAGGGGTGGGAGGGGTACTACGGAATGAGAGTGGGAATGTGGTCCTTATTTTCTCAGGACCCATAGAATTTGGAAACTCTACTAGGGCAGAACTTGCTGCTGCTATCCAGGGAGTACAATTAGCAGTGCAGATAGGTGTGGATCAGATGATAATAGAAGGGGACTCCAAGGTAGTAGTGGGCTGGCTACAAAATCCGGAATCTGTTGTGTGGTGTTTTAAGAATGAAATTAAAAAGTTCAACTGCCTAAAGAAGCTTGACTGTAAGAATACAATGGGTGGGGAGGTCAGCAAACTCTATGGCTGATGGTCTTGCAAAGCAAGGGGTAAATAGGGAAAGTTTGTATTGGGCTCAATTGTAGACTGAATCTGTCTTCTATCTTTTGTCTTTATTCCTACTGGTAGGAGAGGACGCAGCTCATGCCTCTCCAAAGGAAACTTGTAACTGCACTAGTTTTTATTAATGAAATTGATCCTTTTTAATTATCAAAAAAAAGACCAATTCTCTGATGACATTCCAGCCAAGGAACATAGAATAGTATATTTTATGGGTATTCAGTGTGATAATAGATGTATTTTCCTGAATATACTTCAGAAACTAGGTCTGAAGGACATAATCATGGAAATAGATGAGTTTGACTGGTTCTTTATAACGTAGTAATTAGATATTTTCACAAAAACTTCTCATATGATCAAATCTAGAAAATGTACACCTTATTCACAGAGTAATCACAATTGAAGAAAAAAGAGAATAACATAATTAAAATTGAACCAAGTCAAGGTTGAGATATTCATTCTACATAGATATTGAGATATGTCAAGAATTTGGGGACTGTCAAATTTTAACTGTATGTTCACATGAAGCATTCACCTTCTAAAAATAGAAATATTTGACCAATCAAGTACATAGTCCCAAACTTGAATCAAAAGGAGTACTGGACATCTTTTCCATGCACTTAACTTCTAAGCCTTCAATAGAATTACAGATTCCTAAAAAGTTGCAAAGTTACTTGCAAGTTCCTGATGTTACTTGACACAAATCAGCATAGAATATTTGCCATGTTCACTCAATATGAAAAGACTAACTTTATTATTTTATGCAAGTTTTTGTGCATTCAAAAATTACAGTAAACGCACCTTTACCAGAAGAAAGTTAACTGAAGCGATTGATAGGATGAATATTATGCTGTAAGTTAAAGAAATGAGAAGTTAGGAAACAACATGCAAGTTTGAACAAGAGGCCATATTCACTCAATATGAAAAGAAAGCACATTGTTATTGCATGCAAGTTTTTGTGCATTCAAAAATATGATGTCTCAATTGTCTATATGGTTAAGATACATACCAAGCTCCATGTAAATATGACAAATAGCACAAGGAAATAAATAACCAAATGATTGACATCCCCCTCTCTTTTAAAGAACACTTCATCTTCAAAGTATTTGCAACCATGGTGAAAATCGCCATAACAACAGTAAGAACAGGTAAGTTTCCACGGAAGTTTCTCCATTGAGCATCAGAAAGATCCTACAAGAATTAATTAATATCAGGCAAAGAGGAACCTACGTGGACATTTTGTGCATTTAATATTTTACAAAAAAAAAAATCAAGGCTAGAGCATCTTAAACTAATTCTCTGTACAGTATATAGCTAACCCCTACAATTTCAAATTGCATCGAGCTACATTGAGGCTTTAACATTGAGATTCAATTCACCCAATCCAAGATCCTAAATATTTGGGAACAACATTATGTAACAACCATTTTTTAGGCTTTAACATGAAACTGTTGATCTCCTAATATAAAATTTCTTTTTAGATAATAGCATGCATACCAGAAAAGAAAATAGAAGTGGAGTAGTAGTCACAGATGCATCTTAGTGTTGCAACCCAGGCCGGCCTGAGTTAGCATTTTACACTGCTAGGCTTGGGCTCGGCCTGAGTTGGCATTTTACACTGCTCAGGATCAGGCTTGGGCCTTTAGGCCGAGCCCATTCAAATTTTGACAAAAGTTCAACCGAAGCCTGCCCAAGTTGCACCCCTAATAAAGCCGGAAGCATAATATCAGTTTTTTCAGGTCCACTAGACGTGGGGACTCAACAACAGAAGATATAATGGCTATTTTGACAGGTCTTAAACTGGATAAATCGGCATTTTTTTTGGTAGTAATATCAAAAAGAAAATTCATTAAGTAGAAAAAGAGGTACATCAAGAGTACAAAAGGTGATCAAAAATCACCCAAGAAAAGAGAAAACAACCTACATCCAACTTTATAGCTAAATCGGAAAATTCAAGAATAGAGTAGCATAAGGTGTGTTTCCAAGGTGGTTATAGATTGGCTGAAGGTGAAGAGACTGGGGCACAGAGATTAAGATATATCCAAGGGAAATACAATCATTGTCAGCTGAGCCATTCTGTCTCTTTGCATGGACTCCTAGGTTTGCAAACAACATGGTTGATAGATTAGCCAAGATTCTGGTTAACAGAAATATGCTATTCAGGGGTTTGGTAAATCAAATATAAAAGTTTGAATGATATAGCGGTTAGAAGGCTAGCCAAGGCTAGCTTTCTTCATGTTAGATCATGATGTACCTTTTCTACTCATTAAGTAAAACCATCATAACATTTGTCTCACTTCTCCTAATCTTAACAAACAAAGTAAAAAATCAGCAGTTATTAATTTAAAAAAAAAAAAGAATAGCATGCATACCAGAAAAGAAATTTGTTAAATTACCAATTACTAAACTCATACTTAATCCTAATTGCATCATCACTCATATTTGCTCCTTTTGAGTTGCAATGCACTACACTTTTTTCTGCACTTATCTTGCACTTCAATTCATTCTGTCACAAGTATCCATTAATTGTCTGTAAATGCCCATGCATATGAGACCAAAGTCACCAAACTAGTAGGGCACCTGTCACAGACTGAATGCAATTGCAGGATAAGACATCAAAAAAGTGCAGCAGTTCCAGACTTTTCTTCAGTGCATGAACCACAAGAAAGTTATAGCACTTGGCATAATAAAAGTTAAGCCAAGACTTTTGACAAATTTAAAGAGGTCCTTAAAAAAGGAGTTGGTTGGAAACTAGGAAATGGGAAATCTATAAATTTCTGGACAGATGTGTGGATGGGTGTGATAAAGCCTTAGAAAATGAAGACACATACCATCAGACAGAACAGCAATGCAAAGTTAGTGAGTTCATCACTGAATCAAAGGCATGGAATCATGAAAAGATTATTGATAAAGTCAGCCCTCAACAATGGGACTAAATCCGTGCTATTCCTATTTTATCGAGGGATGAGGAGGATAGAGTGATTTGGAAGCACAACCCAAATGGTGAATACTCCATTAAATTGGCCTGCAAGGAAACTCAAATGCCAATAACAGAATCAAGAGACTTGGTAAAATTTGGAAATTAAAAAGCCCTACAAAATTACACTATTTCCTTTACTTAGTGTTGAATAACAAACTACTAACAAAACAAAGACTAAAGAATTTAGGGCTTATTGATGTAGCGGATTGCCCTTTTTGTGGAAATGAAGAAGACCTAAAACATCTCCTCCACAACTGTGCTGAAGTGAGGTAAATCTGGTAAAAATATTGTGACACTACCCCTATACCCTCATTAGCTGAGAGTATTGTGGATTGGTAGGAGAGAATTATAACTCCCCTTCCCAACTTTAATGAGAAGTTTGTCCTGGAGAAAGCAAGTATGCTTATGTGGAATATCTGGAAGAGGCAAAATAATAAAATTTTCAATAATATAGTCCTTACAATTGACCAGGTCACTGAAAAATCTAAGCGGGACTGTGAAGAGTACATAAGTAGTTGCCATCCTATCTCGTCCAATAAACCAAAAGGAAGCGATGAAAGTTTAATTAAATGGAACTGTCCTAGCAATGGCTTAATGAAAATTAATTTTGACGCATCCAGAAATCCAGATGGTAGATGTGCAATAAGGGCCACTCATTAAGTTTGCTCGTTAATGAGGCTGAGGCTTGGGCAGCCCTTGAAGCCCATAAAGTTGCAGCTAAATTTCCTCAACACAAATTCAGTATAGAAGGAGATTCAGTTATTATCATAGAATGTCTTCGCAATCGAGTAGCGCCTCCTTGGAACATCAAAAACTTCATCGATGAATTCCCCCATGTTCGCAATCGCTTTGACCTCGTCATCTCCTATTCTCATGCTTTAAGGGAAGCAAATTTTGCAGTGGATCGATTGGCAAGCTTAGGTCATGTATTGAATGTGTCTGATACTAACCTTGAAGACCAAGCGCTTCAATACATTTGTTTTTTTTACACTTGGGGTCATTTTACCAAGCATCATGCCTCATTTTAGTTTCTCCTTCGTGTAATTTTCTTGTTTCATTGATTTTGTTTTTCCTTTGTTTCTCCCTATTGTATCAAAAAAAAAAACATGCTTCAACAGAAATATGTAAATCAACATCTAATATTTTAGTGATTCCTCAAAAAAAAAAACATCTAATATGTTAGTGATTGATCAAAAAAAAACATCTAATATGTTAGTGTACAGAGAATATAGAATAAGAATGCATCACCAATGATGACTAATAGTACAGTGGGGAGAAGTTTCAGCCTCTCTAAAATCAGAATGTAAATTTGTAATTAAGATTATATATTAATGAAATCCCTGTTACTTATCCAAAAAGAAAACTGATGATTAATAATATTTAGTTGCAAAGGCCAAAAATAAGATATATGAAAAAGCATATTTTCATATTAAAGATAAAGAATAAAAGTTAGTTCTATATAGCAAAATTCCAAGGAAATGTTCAACTAATAGAAAATCTAGTTGAATATCATAAGAAACTAAGTATCAATCATGGATTCAATCTATCAATGAGAGACAGTCATAAAAAAAGTATTAAAAATAACAAGTAATATTCGGTGGGAATATGAGCTATAAAAGATACATTCAGCCGATATGTGATCCATCCACGCCGCAAACCGGATAGCCTCCGAAAATGTTCTACGATGAGCACACAAAATGAAAGACTTATCAATTAAGAATACGCATAACAAAAAATGCAGAATGCAAAATTATTGCAAAAACGAAAATAAATAAAATAAGTAAAATTAAAAAAAAAATGAAAAGAGTTTGACAAATAGACTACCATGAGAGAGTTGCAGAGATCGACAGATGATAACAATGTAGAATGCAAAGGCATACAAGGAGAGAAGCAAAAACTCCCAACGCTTCAACGAACTCTTCATTTTTTTTCCTCAATATGTCATTAGTCGACCATTTCTACAACCCTAAGAGGGGAAAAAGCTTTGATCAAAGAATGAAACAGAAAATATGCTTGCAATGCAAGTCATTAGTTGGTCTTCTCTTCTAACAAAATTTAACCAACATCACATTATTTCTTTTCAATCTCATTCTTTACAACGCAATTCAACCCAAAAATTAGACCATCTTCATCTTTGAACTAAACAAAATTTTGTTACCCAGCAGTCCCGAAAAGACAGACGATCTTCCAGTTGTGGATTCAGCTACAAATGTCCAAAATAAAGCAAAGAAAATACTGCTTCTCGCTGTATCTAGTTCTATCTAATGAGTAATCTCCTTCAAAGATGCAAATGCGCAGACAAGCCTAGTCCCTCAGGCTAATCGAGGCCGTGATATAAAAGTCCTGAGAGAGAGATGAAGTAATCAATCAAAGACAGAACTCAGAAGACATCGATTCCGCGTTCTGTGTACCCGCGGGTGCACTGGACGCGTGCACCTGCGAATGGGAGATGGACACGTCGACCAGGCCAACGTTAACGCGCGTTTGAACGTTAACGTGGTCTGGTCGATTCAATCGGCCCCGAACCGGTTCGTGCGGACACGAACCGGTCGCGACAAAAAGGGTCTTAACCCTCTTTTCGATTTTCTTTTCCCCTGGAGAGCTCCTTCCACCGAACCCCTCCTCCATCGGCGGCGACAAAGTGAACCAGTGTTCTTCTTCTCCTCTTCTCTTCTTCTTCTCCTCTTCTTTTCTTCTTCTCTCCATTCTTATTCTTCTCTTCTTCTTCGACAAGTAGCTCCGGTGGTAGGGCCGGCGACCACAGCATCCTCTTCTTCTTCTTCGTCTTCTCCCGTGGTAGGTCCGATCTGAAGGACGAACAGGTATGACCGTTGCTTTCTCTTCCGTGTTATTTTCTCTTAATATCCAAGCAATGAAAAAGTTCCACCTACTCTTCATTCCTTTTCTTCTATCAAACTTCATAAATTTGGTTGGTCCAAAGGTCCCCCAACTCCAAACGATGAGCACTCTACCCCTGTTTGTAAGGACAAAGTGGGAAAGGGGTTCTCAAATTCACCATTTAGTAGGGCGGTTGTACAAATCTTCTTTGTCTCCATCAGGATTGGGTTAAGTAAAGGAGCTTGTTACCTTTATGGTTGTTTGAACTTGGAAGAGGAGGTGCTAAGTAATTGAGCAATTCATATCAGACACTAGGAACTCTATCTCTCTAAAAACATATCTGAATCTCCATACCCCTGTCTTGTTACCCTTCAACCAAAAGACAGCAATACTTGTACCATTATTAACCATTTTTACCCATATTAAAGAGATAAAATTTTAGATTTGTTAGGATTTGGATCCAATAATGCAAATATGCAATATGTTTCTTTCCAAGTTTTTATGACAATGTCTTACAATTGCAAAGGCAATTAGCAAAGAAGCTATTCTGGGCCCCATATACCCAACTACAGAAACACTAGAAGAGTACCAGACCAAGCATTAAAAAAATGGAGGTTAAAACAATTAGTTCATCCAGATACTTCCCCTAGTTGCTTTGAATAGGAACGTTGGGCAGCTTTGGATTCAACATTATCAGACTGATGTTTTAACTGCATTCTATTACCAAGCAGCCATGGTAGGAAGTACTAGAAACATTTAAAAAGTCTAACGACTGCAAATCTTAAAGAGATTTTGTTTGGGTCAATGTTTTGGAATTTGGAGTCAAGGAAAGTTTACTACAAATCTTAAAGTGATCTGTATTTCTGTATGACCTAAATGTTATCTAACAGCTGAGTTTTTTTTTTTTTTTCCAAACACTTTATAAGTGAATTTCTGTATTCATCTTTCATTTTGAGTTTTATATGGTAAACTCCTAGTCCATCTCATGAGTTGTTGATGTGCATGATTAATTCATCAGAAAGAGTAGACTTGTTTTTAGCTGATGTGAATGATTAATTCTATCATCTTATATAATTTTCCTCCTTTTAGAATTCTTAGAATGGGTACTCAAGATGAAGATTGTAGTAGGCTTCACAGTGAAGATGAAATTCTTTCAAATATTGATTGCCATGTTGCACGTAAGTTGGTGTTTGATGATGGAAATGATAAGGAGGTAGACAAAACAATAGAAGAACCAAGGTTGGGAATGATGTTTGAAAACTTGGATGATGCATATTTTTTTTACAATGAATATGCTAGAAGAGTGGGGTTTTGCACTCGGAAGGGCAAGGAACATAAAACAAAGAGTGGGGTAATAAAAGACAAGACCTTTTGTTGTCCTGCCCAGGGTTTTCGTAATCCCAAACCATGAGATGGTGTGAAATACTATCGTGACAGCACAAGAACTGGATGTCAGGCACACATGCTTGTTGGGTTGAAAGAAAGTGGTCAATATAGCATTATTCGTTTTGAGAAGCAACACAATCATGTGGTTGGTTGTAACTCCAAGTAAGACATACATGTTAAGGTCACATAAGAGAAAGATGGTGGCCCAAACTTCTCAGGCTATTCTTGCAGACAAGTCTAGGGTAACACCAAAAGCCACTATGGAGTCTATGGCCAATGAAGTTGGAGCTGTTGAGAATCTGGGATTCACTCATTTTGATTATTGCAATTATCTGCAGACAAAGAGGCAAAAAGATATGGAGATGGGATATGCAGGAGTCATTTGAAAATTTTTTGAAAAGTTGCAGATGGAGAACTCCTCATCATTCCACTCCATACAACTTGATTCTGAAGATCAAATTACAAATGTCTTTTGGGCTGATGCAAGGATGGTAGTTGATTATCATTTTTTGGTGATGTAATATGCTTTGATACCACCTTCAGAACCAATCGGGATCATTGGCCATTTGCATTGTTTGTTGGTATTAATCACCATAGGCAAACAGTAATATTCGGTGCTGCATTAATGTACGATGAGATTGCTGAATCATTTAAGTGGGTTTTTGAAGCATTCTTGAATGAAATGGGTGGCAAAAAACCAATAACAATCTTAACGGATCAATGTGCAGCAATGGCAAAGGCCATTCAATATGTTTTCATGGAGGTTAATCATCGCCTCTGTATTTGGCACATTTATCAGAATGCGGTTAAACAGTTGTCCCATCTATTTCGGGTTTCTAAGACATTTGAGAATGATTTCGGCAATTTGATATATGACTACGAAGAAGAGGATGAATTTCTAAAGGCTTGGGAAGAAATGCTTTGTCAGTATGGTTTGAAAGAAAATACATGGTTGAAAGGGTTATTTGAAGTGAAAGAGAAGTGGACATTGGTTTATGGGAGAAACCACTTTGTTGGTAACATGAAGAGCACTCAAAGGAATGAAAGCATGAATTGTTTGTTGAGGGGTTATTTGAAATCACCACTGAATTTATCTCGATTCTTGGAACACTTTGAAAGGATTGTGAGAGATAAACACCAAAAGGAATTAGAGATGGATTTCAAGATGATTTATAGCAAACCCCATTTGAGTATACAGTTATCGATTCTTGAATAAGCTGCTATGGTTTATGCCCCTACAATTTTCAGAGAATTTCAAAAGGAGTACCACAACTCTGTGCTTTGCTTTGTAGACAGTAAAGTTGAGGTTGATGAAGGGGTCAAGACCACTATAAGCATGTATGGCAAAAAAAAGGTGCATGTTGTATTATTTTCATCATTGGATTTATTAGTTTCATGTAGTTATAGAAATTTTGAGTTCGCGGGGCTGCTTTGTTGTCATGCATTGAAGGTGCTTTATGAAAATAGGGTAATGCATCTTCCATCCCAGTACATCTTAAAATGATGGACAAGAGATGCAAAAGATGGGACTACAATAAACTATCATGGTTGTGCAATTAATCTTGATCCTAACCGTGGATATACTATGAGGGCAACTAAACTAGTGAGGGTTTCACAAGACATATCTAATCGGACTGCAGAAAATGAAAAAGCTTTCTAGTTTGCATTGAAGGTGTTCGAAAAGATCTGTATTGGAATTGAGAAAATAATAAAAGCGGATGTTTCAGTTGATGCACAGATTGCTCATTCACTTAATATCGAAGATGATTCGGATGCATATCTACAACATGGCAGTCAATTAGGATCTTGTCAGCTAAGTGATGTTGATAATTCAAAAAAGAAAGGGGACACTGACAGAATCCATAGTACCATTTGATGATCTCACACGCAAGGGGTGCCCCTTGCTACATTCTTCAAGCACATTTCAACAACAAACAAGCCAGGTATGTATGGAGTTAAATATAAAAAGTTCTGAAGATAAAATGAGTTCTCTTTTTCAAATTATTCAACATTTTCTTCTTTGTTGTAGGGAAATGTTATAGATTTGCAAAACTGGTGTTTTAGCACAAATTTAGATGGAGGATACCAACCAACATCTCAAGATAGGCAATAAGACCATGCTAGTGAGTGCACTTTTTAAACAAAGATTCATTTTTTCATAGATTTTGGCTTATAGTTTTTTTCAAAAAATATATAACAAAAGAGAATGGGATCTCAGTTCCCCCATAACTAGGCCCTTAATTCTCCTGAGAAAGCAAACTGTCAACCATGGAATTGGCAGATTATCAAATACACTGGAACTGGATGTCCTTTGATACATATAGCTTGGATTATCAGATACACTGCTAAATCAGGTTCACCATCCTTTCCCGACCATGTGAAAACTCCAAGGCTTCATCATAATAACTACTAAGAAACCCTCTTCATTATAAAAGATTATCAGATACACTGGAACTGGATGTCCTTTGATACATATAGCTTGGATTAGACTAAACACAGACCCTCAACTTGATGATGTTTGTTATAGAGATAATAAAACACATGTTATCAGTATGAAGTATTTTAAGTCTCCGTCTAACAACTTGTCCGTACATAAGTACAGAACTTTTAACATCACAATTAAGCTTTACAGAGTTCACCCACTTAAGGACTGATCAACTTCACCAACTGAACCCCTTTTGATGTCAATTATCAAAAAAAAAAAAAAAAAAAAGAGTATATGATGTCTGAATCTTTGCTAATTATGCAGAACAATTTTGGACTCGACATGAGAAATGGGGTACAATTTCAACTCTTTGATCGCAGAGGGAGCAGCTCCAGTGCCAGATGCTTTGGGCAGTTTTATGTAATCTAATTGGCTTTGAAGCCTTTGCTACTAGTCTATTTATGGTGTGAATGAAACTGTGAAAGCCCGTTACTCAGGTCCGACTGGAGAAGGAAATTCCGAAAGATCAGAGTTTGATGGGTGCTGTTTGGGCAATCCGGATTTGTCTGGAGTAGGTGTGGTGAGAGACATTCAAGGTATCATTATCCTTAGTTACTCAGGTCCGACTAGGGTTGTCCTGGACCAGGCTGTAATCTGTAACTGTTTCTCCTTTTTCTCTGTTGCTGAGTGGTTTTGGTTTGGTCCTGAGATTGTACTGTCCTTTGACCAGCCACTTATTCTAGTGCTGCTGGCCTCTGTTCCTTTTAATAAAATGGCATCAGTTACTTATCAAAATAAAGAAAATTAAAAAAAAAAATAGTAATAATAAACCACACTTTAACCTTGTGGTATATGCTGAAATGGCATTTCTCCTTAATGGTACAAATACACCTGGTGAATGACACCACTTGTTTTCATTACATAGGAAATGCACCAAATTCAAAGTACTTGTCAGGATAATCTGGCTGTGTTTATTTGACCAAACTTCCCATAAGGAAATGCACAATCTAGCATGCTTACCCTGGCTTGGGACTAACATTTTACATCTACCCAAGCCCATTCATATCCTGCTGAGCTAGCAAATGGGTTAAAAGTTTTTATGCTATATGCTTGGGCTGGAAGGTTTAAGGTAAACCCAGGCCAAGGCCTGACTTATTGACAGACCTATAACTGGTACAGCATACCATTCTTTATAAAATTTGGCAAGAATTGACTAGGTTTCAATTTTATCACCGGAGCTTATCTGTTGTATTGCATAAAAAGATTCGGGCTCCATTTGGGAAGAGTACAAAATACAAATATGTTCAGTGCAAAACTTTGCACTGTTGAAAGTTTACTTACCAAATACTAAACAAATATGTTCAGTGCAAAAAGATTCGCGCTCAACATGGAGCTTTCTTCAGTGGTATTAGCTGTTGAAAGTTTACTTACCCAATACTAAATTTACCAATACTAAACAACCTACTCTTTTACCAACACTAAATTACCCAGAAAGCCATATGGTAATCATTAATTGGAGCTTTCTTCAGTAGTATTAGCTGTTGAAAGTTTCAAATTTTGAACTGAAAAATTGCCCCAAGATAAGCTGCTAGTCATGGGAGGGACCTTTAGTTGGAAGCGGTGCAATGAATAGAGGTAGGGAGGGTGTCACATGTTTAAGATTCCTGGGTCATTTGGATTTCTTTGATAAGTGACTCATCTGGCAAAACCTTTAGCTGTGGAGAGACACTTGGTAAGGGTTTGCTAATCAAGTTGATTAGAGACATATACCAACCCAGGAATCTTCCATGTGGACAAATAGTCCTCCAATTACTTCACATCATGTGAAGGTTACAACTTCAAATCCCTTACATGTTATTTTTTGTTTTGAAAAGTGAAACTCTAGGTGGCTAATATCACATTGACAATACTTCAATGTATGCTTGGGACTTGGGTGTTGGGTTGAAGCAGATGAGAGGATAGAAGATACTATGGTTTTCAAAACCGACTCGGAGACCGAACTGGTTAGGGGTCTGGTTACTGGGTCAAACAGTCAGCCCATTCTGACAAAAAATATAAAAATTTAAAACAATAAAAAGCAGTCAAAATCGTTTGAACGGTTCGAACAATTAACCATCCGGATCAGCGGTTTGTTGACCAAAATCAATGGTTTTTTGAGAAATTCCAACTTTGGGGGAAAACGAAATTGGTCACCTAACTGGTTTCCAACTTTTCTGATCCGACCGTCCGGTCCAGTTTTGAAAACCATGGAAGACAAGGCAATCCAAGAGGTCACCCATAAAAGGTCTCCTATTTATGTAACCTAATTTGCTTTGGGCGGTTTTTGAATAAGGGGAAATTCTTAGGAAAACTACCCATACTTTGATAATTCTAATCCCCAAGCGGAAAAACCCAGAAAAGGTCATCCAATTCCATCCTATTAGCCTCTAACCATCTATAAGGTGCTAACCAAAAAGGTCACCCACAATGCTGAACAAAGTCATCAGTAGGGATGTTTGTCTCCTTCCCTCTATTAGACTCCTGCCGTCAGCCCATCTCCTATGGTGCAAACAATATATCAGACCTACAAAGTATAAACAACATATCAGGTCTCAATGTTTTGCTGGTGTCCAACCACATTAGTAAACCATATCAAAAACTAAAAATTGTTTCACATGGGCCATTAATGGTATATGAGTAGGGGTTGGAGGTTATGTTGGGATTAATTCTTATACATACACACTAAAATAAATCCAATAAAAATAATAATTAAAAAACATGTCATCTTCATCCTTCAATATGTATTAGGTGAGAAGATAGCAATGATTCTAGTATCTTCAGACGACCATCCATATCAGCCACTAACTTTTCAAGCTCATCAATTCAGCTTTCTAAATCTTCTTGATTATGCTTGTTTGAAATGTCATTTTATCAAGCCCTTCGGGAACTGTCCATGCAAAATAATCACACCGCTTACCATTTGATTTGTTTGTCTGCATAGATGCAACACACTAGTCATCAAATCTTTCAATTGTCATTATTAACATACATAGAACATGAAAATGTGTTATATCACTTACAACTTTCCCGGGACAAGTGTAAAACAACTTGTGTCGATTTTGAGGTGTTTTTTATACTCAATTTATGCAGCTCCTTCCGCAATCACAAAACATTGGACTATATTTCAAGTCCTTATACGATGGATGATCAAAAGTGGATTGAAAACTCATACACTGTGCAATAGTGTAAAAAGAATTATAATCCAAATAAACAATAATACTTGGGGATTCTTCAGGTATGGGAGGTGTTTATAGGGATTCTTCAGGCAAAGTGAAGACTATCTATTCAGAACCTATAGGGTTGGGAGATTCACTTAAAGGGTGAACTGATGGCTTTATTGCAAGGCTTAAAATTAGCTAAGCAGTCTAACTTCAAGAACTTGGATGATGGTCTGACCTTCCCAAATCCTTTATCTATCTTAATAAAACTAGAAAATATTTTTCCAAATTAGCTATGGTAGGTATTGGTGAAACCTGAGAAAAATGGGAATGTGGCATATGTTGGGAAAAATATTTGTTGTTTATAGATTTTTCCACTGCATTGATATCTTATGCTTCTTATTAATAAAAATGCATAGGAGAAAAACCAACCCTTACCTCCTATGTCCATAGGAGAAACGAAATATGTTCTTCACTATGAAAGAAAAGTGAGAACAATACATAAACCTTGCAGTTTATAGCCCAAACCAACCCTTAACCCTTGTACACCCGTTCTCCCTTTCCTCTCAATCCAAAGAACAAAAACAAGAGAAAAACCACTCTCACACTAAGAGCACTCTATATTTTTTCTCACACCTTTTCTCCCAAAAAACCTTAACCCTACATACAAAAGAAAGTTTTTATATATAAAACCTCTTCAACCTAAAGACAAACCATACCAACTGTTATATTAAAATTAATCCAGTGGTTGTAAAAAAATAAGACACAATTCCAACAGTGTTCAATAAATAAGAACTGATAAATGCAAATAAGCAATTAAATGCAAGTGGAATGAACACACACATTCATGCACACCGGACCTATGTCCTCTCTTCAAGGAACCCCCCTCTTAGAATTTGTGGCACTCTTTTCAATCAAAACATACATTAGCTAGTTGATCTAGTGCTAGCCACACCATACATACACTAGGTAGTCGATTCAGTTCTAGCCACACCATACACCCCCTATTTTTCTCACATAACTTTCTTGTATACTATCTAGTTGATCTAGTGCCATCCACACCACAAAGGCAGCTCAACCTTTGTTTTTCACTTCATAAGTCTCAAATACACTCTACAAATAGCAGGAATAAGAATCCCAAACGGATTGAATAGGCAAATACAACTCAAAGACAAGGAACAGAGCAAAGCTAGGGTTCAAAGACTCATTTCAAATTCAGTCCATTTCCCTTTTCCTTTGCTTTTCATAATCTTTTTCAACAAATAGGCATTGGATTCTGGGCAACATGGGCTTCAGAAAATCCAATAACTCGACAAACATCCTAAGCTTCTACTCTAATAAAATTGTCTTTCCTACATATTCCTAAGGAAACAAAGTGTTTCAACCTAGTTGTTCTGAAACATACAAGCATCGAGAATTGATGACCCTAGTAACACAACAGGCATCCATAATATGGAGAGAAGAAGAAGAATGAAGAGTAGGGGTGTAAATGGATCAAATTCAAATAGGATCAGGCAATATCCAAATTCGAATTCGATTAGAAAAATCGATATCCGAATTTGATTCGATATCTTACGGATATTGAAAATTAATATTCAAATTCGAATTCGATTAATTAATTATTGTAGATAATTAATAAATATATAAAATAAATATTTTATGATATAAAGTATATAAATATACAAATTATTTATATAACTTAATTATTATATATATAAATTATATAAAATATTTTATATAATATATATAGGAATTAAATAATCGATCAAATTTGGATATTTATCAAATCGAATCAGGTCATATCCGAACTCGAATCCAATTAACTATTTCGTATAAATAGGATATCCGAATTCGACCGATTAGATATTCGAATTATCCGAATTCGATTTGATTATGTTGAATATTGAATTCGAAATCGGATTTTCGAATACCGTTGACACCCCTAATGGAGAGGAGAAGAAGAAGAAGAAGAAAAAGAAGAAGAGGAGAAGAAGAGAGAAAGCAACGGTCATACCTGTCGCACCCGGAACTTCTCATTGTCGCCGCTGGAGCTTTATTGCTGCCAATGGAGGAGGGGTTCAGTGTATGGGGAGGATTCGGTGGAAGGAGCTCTCCAAGGGAAAAGAAAATCAAAGGAGGGTTAAAACCCCTTTTGTCGCGATCGGTTTGTGTCCACACGAACTGGCTCATGTCCGATTGAACCGACCAGACCACATTAATATTAAAACGTAGGTTAACATTGGCCTGGTCGACGTGTCCTTCTCCCATTCATAGGTGCACGCGTCCAGTGCACCCACGTGTGCACAGAACGCAGACTCGAAGGCAGAAGCTCCATTCCTCTGAATCTGAAAGGAATCCGTAGGAGTGGAAAATGGGTGGGGTGGGTTGGGTTGGGTGCGGATTTAAAATCCAACCCACCCATTAAGACCCACACCCATTTGCCCCCTATATTAGCATTAGCTAGATGTCAGAGGATCACATTTACAACCCACCACAATCCACACCCATATTGACCTACTTACAATCGGATTGGTTCAACCCATATACCCAATAATTTCAAACAAAGAGAGACCCTAGTTGTTACGTGGCAAAATCGGATTGGGTCAACCCATCTAACCAAAATTTTCAA